TCAGCGCCATCGCCGCAGGCGCATCTTGTTGGTCTTCTTATAGTGGCCCTTTGCGGGAATGTGCCAACAACCCGCCTGCCCTGACATCTGGGCGTCATGGAGAAATTAGCCTGGCGAAGAACCCAACCATATGCAGTTGTCAGTACCGCAGCTGCGGGTTTCATCTTCAGTGGAACTCCCCATAGGACCACGGAGCGTGTGAGGGGTGTTCCGAGATGGGTGCCACTGGGGCATTCGGTGGAGCTCCCGATGGGGACATGAAACACGCGCGGGGCGTGCCGATATGGGTGGCGGAAACGCGTGTGAGGGCCGCCACTGGGGCCTCCGGTGGAGCTCCCTATGGGTCCCCGAAACATGATGCTGCTGCGGTGGTTGTGCCGGGATGGGTGGCAGAGAAGCATGTAAGCGCCGCTACTGGGGCCTTCGGTGGAGCTCCCTATGGGGCCACGAAGCGCGTGAGGGGTGTACTGGGATGTGTGGCGGGGACGCATGTGAGCGCCGCCACTGGGGCCTTCGGTGCAGCTCCCTATGGGGCCACGAAACGTGTGAGGGGTGTGCCGAATTGGGTGCGGGTGGTGACGCATGCGGGCGGTGCCACTGGGGCCTTCGGTGGAGCTCCCTATGGGGCCACGAAACCTGTTGTTGTGAGGGGCGTGCCGGGATGGGTGGCGGGGACGCATGTGAGCGCGGCCGCTGGGGCCTTCGGTGGAGCTCCCTATGGGGCCACGAAACGTGTGAGGGGTGTGCCGAATTGGGTGGGTGTGGGTGACGCATGTGAGCGCCGCCACTGGGGCCTCCGGTGGATGATGGGGCCACGAAACCTGTGAGGGATGTGCCGAAATGGGTGTGCGGGACGCATGCGCATGTGAGCGCCGCCGCTGGGGCCTTCGGTGGAGCTCCCTATGGGGCCACGAAACGTGTGAGGGGTGTGCCGAATTGGGTGTGCGTGACGCATGCGGGCGGCAGCACTGGGGCCTTCGGTGGGGCTCCCTATGGGGCCACGAAACGTGTGAGGGGTGTGCCGAATTGGGTGTGCGGGACGCATGCGGGCGGCAGCACTGGGGCCTTCGGTGGGGCTCCCTATGGGGCCACGAAACGTGTGAGGGGTGTGCCGAATTGGGTGTGCGTGACGCATGCGGGCGGCAGCACTGGGGCCTTCGGTGGGGCTCCCTATGGGGCCACGCGTCCCGTGCGTGACGCATGCGGGCGGCAGCACTGGGGCCTTCGACGGGGTTCCCTATGGGGCCACGAACGTGTGAGGGGTGTGCCGAATTGGGTGTGCGTGACGCATGCGGGCGGCAGCACTGGGGCCTTCGGTCAGGCTCCCTATGGGGCCACGAAACGTGTGAGGGGTGTGCCGAATTGGGTGTGCGTGACGCATGCGGGCGGCAGCACTGGGGCCTTCGGTCAGGCTCCCTATGGGGCCACGAAACGTGTGAGGGGTGTGGCGAATTGGGTGTGCGTGACGCATGCGGGCGGCAGCACTGGGGCCTTCGGTGGGGCTCCCTATGAGGCCACGAAACGTGTGAGGGGTGTGCCGAATTGGGTGTGCGTGACGCATGCGGGCGGCAGCACTGGGGCTTTCGGTGGGGCTCCCTATGGGGCCACGAAACGTGTGAGGGGTGTGCCGAATTGGGTGTGAGGGACGCATGCGGGCGGCAGCACTGGGGCCTTCGGCGGAGCTCCCTATGGGGCCACGACACGTTTGAGGGGTGTGCCAAAATGGATGATGATGACGATGATGATGGTGTGAGGAGGGAGGAGGGAGGAGGGGGAGGAGGAGAGGAGAGGAGAGGAGGAGAGGAGAACGCGGGGCGACGTCTCTTCAAAACGAGGACCCAACACCACAGGATGGTTGGGAAAAAACATCAACACGACGGGCCACTTGTTTGCCCCGGGTCTGGGTCCAGGGGCCCTCACGGATCGCTCCGGCTCGAAGATTTCAGCAGAGAGATCGGGTCAAAAGAAAAGCACGTGGCTCTTCACAACACTGCAGATTTTCACATTGTCGGGCATGGGGACCCATTGACCATTGATCCTGGCCAGGCCAGTCGTCCCTGGATCGGCGGATACGATGCCCTCCTGGCTTCGCCTGGCCCAGGACGAGATCAGGACCAGGATCGGCCTGGCCAGAATCGGCGCAGAAGGATGATTTGACGTCCACCGACCTTGTACGAAGGGCGCAGCTTGCTGGCGCGTTTGCCCTTCTTGAGCAGGCCGCGCGCCTTCCGGCCCGCTGCCGTCAGGCCGCGCAGCTCGCGGTGCTTCATCACGGCCTTGCAAATCCAGTTGAGGCGGGGGTCATCGCGCACGCACTTGTGCATGGGGTCGACCATGACGACCTCGAACCACTTGTACGTGGAGTCCTGTGCGACCCAGTAGGAGTTCAGCACCCGCAGGCTCGAGAGCTTGCGGCCCGCCCGCTCCTCGGCTATGCTGCGCAGGTTGCGCACCGTCTTCCAGTGCTTGACGCCCTGGTTCGTCGGCTTGCCGTATACGATGCCCTTCGCGACGCGCTTCTTGCGGTCCCCGCGCTTAACCCTGACCCGGTACACGAGCACGCCCTGCTTCGCCTTGTAGCCCAACCTGCGAGCCTTGTCCGGGCGGCTCGGCCGCGAGCAACGGTGGAGGGCGGGGAGCTGGCGGAACTCCCACGTCCTCAGGCGCGCGAGGAAGCGCATGACATCCGACTGCTTCTTGCGCCAAAGCTCCTCGAGATACTTGTACGCGCCCATGGCCTCAGTCTGATGTGTGAAGGTGGGCTCTGCTGCCAGTGCCGCTGGAGCACTTCTGCCAGAACGGCTGTGGATGAAGGAGGAAGAGGATGAGGGAGGGGAGGATGGCACGGGCATCGGGCAGGAGGAAGGAGAAGAGCACGAAGAGGCCAACACACTCCCTATGTTCACAAACCAGTCATACGACGCAGAGGAAGACGAGGACGATGCGGGGGAGGATGAGGCAGAAAAGGAAGAAGAGGGGCGCGGAGGAAGGAGAGGGCAGAAGAGGCAGTAGGAGGGAGGGGTACTGGTGGTCAGTCGCTGCACAGGGAGGCCGATCCTGTGCAGAGCGCCTCGACCCCTGCATTCCGCCACAAGGGGGAACCATTTTTGTTTTGGGCCACAAAGATATTCCCTCCGCCACATAAGGAATCCCTCGGTGATCAACCACAGAAGGATTCCTATTGTATTCTGCCAAGGAATCCTTTAGCAATCCACCACAGAAGGAATGCCTGTGTGTTCCGCCATAAAAGAATAGTTTCGTTTTCTGCCACAAAAAGAATCCTCGTGCACTCGGCCACACAAGGATTTCCGTTGCACTACGCAACATAACGAGTCAACTGGTAATCAACAACATAAAGATCCTCTTGTATTTTGCCACGAAAAGAATCCGTCTGTACCCCGCGACAACAAAAACCCTTTGCATTCTGCCACAACGGAAATCGTTGCGCACTCCGCCACAAGGGGGAACCCTTTTGCATTCGGCCGTAAACGGGTTCCCTCTGCATTCCGCCACATAAGGAATCCCTTTGTAAACAACCACAGAAGGACTCTTTCTGCATTCTGCCATTAAACAAATAAATCCCTGAGTAATGCACCACAAAGGGAATCCCTGAGTACTCCACCACAAGATGAATCTTTTGGTCCACACAGGGAATCCTTTCGTACTCCGCCAGAAAAGGATTTCCCCTGTACTCCGCCACATAAGGAATCCCTTGGTAATCAACCACAGAAGGATTCCTCATTTATTCTGCCACAACAGGAACCCTTCAGTATTCCACCACAAAGGAAATCCTTTCGAATTCTGCAACAGTGGGAATCCTCTAGAATTTTGCCACACAGGGACCTTTTTGTATTCCTCCACAGAGGACACCCTTTTGTATGATTCCGCCACACAACAAATCCCTTCGTAATGCGGCACAGAGGGCTTCTCTTTGTATCGCGTCACAAGAACACTGATTTTGCATTCTGCCACAAGTGCAATTCTTTCGTAATCCACCACACGATATCCGCCAGCCCCCTTGCGGGGCCATCAGTCTGCGAGGATTAAGGTTGCTGCTCCCTGCACCAGTTCCAGTTTCCAATTTCCATTGTTGCAATACTGCTTTCTGCTTCCTACTGTAAATTGTTACTGTCCGCGCGAGGGGGGGAGCCGAAAAGGGCCCTGGTTAGCGTCCCCTGAGAGGGTTCTCAGAATTTCTGAGGGGGGCGTGGGACACGTGAGCATACGGACTTCTCGCGCCCCCCAAGCCATAATCCCTCACAGATTACGCTGTATTCGCGCCCCCGAGGCCACGATCCTTCGTAAATTACGCCGCGCTCGCGTCTCCGAGGCCACGTTTTTCGTAATTTACGCCACATGTGCGTCTCCGAGGCCACGATCCCTTGCAATTGCTCCACATTCGCGCCCTCGAGGCCACGATCACCCGAAATTTACCCCACACTCGCGCCCCCGAAGCCACGATCCCATGTAATTTACATTGTTTTCGCGCCCCTGAGGCCACGATCCTTTCTACATTACAACACATTCACGCCCCTGACGCCACCATCTCTCGTAAATTACGCAGCGGGCGCGCCCCAGATGCCACGAATCCGCCTTGCGGAAGCTGCCAAAAAGGCGCTCCCCCTCTCCAAAACAGGAAAACGAACATTTTCTGTATTGGGATATGTGCTCCGCCGGTATTCTGTTGCCCCCCCCGTTTCTGGAAAATTCGGTGGGTTCCACATTCACCCCCCCAGGCCACGATCCCTAGCAAGTTACGCCACATTTGCGCCCCCGAGGCCACGATCCCGCGCGAATTACGCCACATTCGCGCCCCCGGGGCAACGATCCCTTGTAAATTACGCCGCTGTCGCGCCCCCCAGGCCACGATCCCCAGCAACTTACACCAAATTCGCGCGCACCCCCCACGCTACGAATCCACCTCGCGGAAGCTGCCCAAAGGCGCCACTCCTTCTCCAGAGCAGAAAAAACGACCTTCCCAGAGATTGCCTGAAGCAATCCCCAGCCGTTCCCAGAGCGCTTCCAGTGAACAACTGGAGGAAAATGCCAAGAAGGCAACAAAGCGTTCAACAACAACTTTAACATCTCAGTCTGTTTTGCTCATCGCCAGCCGCCCTAGCATGACGTTCCCGAATGTCATCAAGACGGCGCCCGAACATCCCAATACAGCTCTGATGTATCCCATTCTGATAGAGAGGGGGCCAGCGGCAGGGGGCGAAGCCCTTACGGATATCCTTTTCCATTCAGCCGCGAAGGACTTGTTTTGTATTCCGACCTCGGCACTCCGCCGTCAAAAGACTTGGCGCATTACAAAGGTATTCCCGCTGTGGTAAAAGCCGAAAACATTAATTTGAGTGAAACCTCTCTCCATTCCGAATGGAGAGAGGTTTCTTCTTGAGTACGTAGAGTACACATAGATTCACTGCGTGGCGGATTACAAACAGATATCGTTCGTTGCTCTGTTGGAAAAAAACTCGAACCGCCTAGGCCTGTATCGTGCCTGGCGCCCCTCTTCCTCCTCCTCCTCCTCCTCCTCCTCCTCCTCCTCCTCCTCCTCCTCCTCCTCCTCCTCCTCCTCCCCCCCCCCCACCTCTCTTCTTCTTCCTCCTCCTCCTCCTCCTCCTCCTCCTCCCTCCTCCTCCTCCTCCTCCTCCTCCTCCTCCTCCTCCTCCTCCTCCTCCTCCTCCTCCTCCTCCGCCCCCTCCTCCTCCTCCTCCTCCTCCTCCTCCTCCTCCCTCCTCCTCCTCCTCCTCCTCCTCCTCCTCCTCCTCCTCCTCCACCCCCGCTTCTCTTCCTCCCATCACCATCCCATGCTCCAAATCCCCCCTCAGGTTCCCCCACTCGACGACGACGACGACGACGACGACGACGACGACGACGACGACGACGACGACGACGCCTCCTCCTCCTCCTCCTCCTCCTCCTCCTCCTCCTCCTCCTCCTCCCCACCCCCGCTTCTCTTCCTCCCATCACCATCCTCATGCTCCAAATCCCCCCTCAGGTTCGCCCCACTCGACGACGACGACGACGACGACGACGACGACGACGACGACGACGACGACGACGACGGACGACGACGACGGACGACGACGAACGACGACGACGACGAACGACGACGACGACGACGAAAGGCACGAAATCCTCGGTCCCCGAGCCTCGAACCTCGATCGACGACGACGACGACGACGACGACGACGACGACGACGACGACGACGACGACGACCCTAGAAAAGGGACCTGCAGCGTCGCCACGAGCGCCTCCAGCCCGCGGCCGGCGCACGCGCCGCGGCACCCGTCCTCCGGGCGGGCGCGCGAGGAGGGGCGGGTCGGGGAGGTCGGAGGGGCGGGCGCAGGGGGAGGAGGCACTTTGCGCGGGGGGGGGAGGTCGGGTCGGGAGGGCCCCGGGGGAGCGCGCGGGCACGGGCGGACGGGGGAGCGCACGGGGGTGGGCGAGAGGAGGCACTTTGCGCGCGGGGGGGGGGGGGGGAAGAGTCGAGAACTGCGGCTCGGCATGCCACGGCGGCGGTCCCTGCGACGCGCCATGGCGTCGCTCCGTGCCGCGGGGCGGGAGGCGGGGGAAAGGCTCGGGACGCGGACGCTCGGGGACCAGGACGTGGTCAGCGTGTCGCGACGGGGCGTGGCGGACCAGAACCGGCGGCGCGATACGCGAAGCAAACGCTCGTGGCCGTAAAGGGATCGACCCCTTCAGGAAGCAGCCTCTGAAGCTCTGGGCGATCTTCGCGGGAACGGCTGAAGACTCTGAAGCCCGACTAGGGGAGTATAAGGTGGATAGAGCAATATATCCGCCACCGTGCCTCTGGGCACAGAGTGGGCGTGTCCTCAGGTCCTTTGCCGAATACTCTAAGCCTTAACCCCCGCTCCTGAAGAGCCTCTGAGTGGCCCGGAGCCTGAATGGCCAAATCTACTGGGAGTCTCGCGTGCCCCGTGAGGTCCAGCGCATCTTCTCGCGTGAATGTCTCGGGCCCAAGGGGGCCAAAGACAAGAGGTCCTCAAGACGGTCCAAGAGGGCCCCGAGACGCCCCAAGATCGCACCGAGACGCCCTAGGTGGCCCCGAGACGACCCACGACGCCCCCGAGACGTCCCACGAGAGCCCCGAGAAACCTCCCCAAGAGGGCCCGGAGAGGCCGAACTCATTACGTTTCCATAAGTTGTCCCAATGATTCGTGAACCTTTGACTCTTCGAGCTCCCGACACGCTCCAAGACGGCCCAAGAGGCCCCCAGCACCGCCCCAGCACGGCCCCTAGAGGCTCCCAGGAGGGCCACAACAACACGGCCCAACAGAGCTCCAGGACGGCCTCAGAGGCGCCCAAGACGGCCCCAAAGGTCAGAAAATCAGAATCTTCCGCCCCATGACACCCCCGGGAGGCCCCAAGGGGCCCCATGAGCCCCCCCAAAAGGCTCCCGCCCCGAGAAGCCCCAAAACGGCCCCCACGAGGCCTCAAAACGGTCCCCAAGAGGCCCCCGAGAGGCTTCTCGC